AAGGTGAAGTATAATTTTCTCAGCAAATGACTTTCAAATGACTGAGTGTATATGTGAGTGTGTGTGTGTGTGTGTGTGTGAGTGTGTGAGTGTGTGTATGTGTGTGTGCTTGTGTGCACAGAGCAGGTAAATCTCAGAGTCTAGTTGGAGGGTATTTTGGTGTTCATTGCACTGATGTTTGAACATTTTGTAGGTCTGGAATTTTAGTTTCCAGTTTTCAAATTTCACATCAGTGTTTCTATTCAGTGGGGCAGACACTGCTGAGTACCTGCTGTGTGCCTGGCACTGGATCCAGGTGTAGTCAGGGAAGTACAGTGTAGTGATGTCTGTGCCACGGGGTACTTTACGAAGTATAGAGAATCCCATGGAACTGAGAGAGATGACCCCTGCCTTTAAGGAGCTCAGCACAGCTCTATCTAAATCCTGATAACCGCCACTGAAAGTACTTTCTAAGTGAACCTCCACATGCTAAGCCAGTGGTGGCTTTCTTGCATCCCCTGGTGTCGGTCACCCAGGACTGCTCATGCGGCGTAGTTGCAGCTGACATGCCCTAAGTGCCAGCCAGCAGCATGGTGAACCGAGTGAACAGAATCGCCAGTACCAGCAGGTCCTGCAACACAAAGATGGTAGCATTTGACCTTCGCCTCTGGAATATCAGGAGCTCATCAGCTGTCAGGCATGCTTTGAGCTTTGAGCTCATAGACTGCTGCGTCGTGTGCTGGAAGGCAGGACCCCTGACACGGCAGGTGAACTCTCTCAGCGCCCTTTCCTCGTATATTTTATATGTCCTCATGCATGTGCAGGTGCCACCTAGGTTTTCTGCCACCCAGGTGACCTTGGCCAGTCACTGCTCAAGATGTTAATCATTTCACATTCAAAAAGCATGGTATAGTCTCTTATCAGAATAGGGCTACCATTAAGGAGGCTTAATAGCTCCATAAACAGTCTTACCACAAACAGGACTCTTAAAGGTCATTGAAAGCAGGGGATTGTAAAACACACCCCATGCATACTTAGTAAAACGTGCAGACGAGGTTGTATTGGCAGGTCTTTGATGAAGTCCTCTGTCGCCTTGTGTGAGTGTCAGTAGGGCTGCTGTGGTGCCAGCACAGGGTGCCGCCAGGGGGGCGGCTGTCTGCACTCACCAAGCCACGCTCCGGGGCCGTGTTTGCACGAAGGACTGTCACCTCTGTCTAAGTTACACTAAGGCGCGCGTGGCCTGGCCGTCAGGTCCATTGTTTTAGGTTCAGGAGCATTTTTCTAAACCATTTCATGGCCGTGCCAACCAGAAACCTCAGCCAGCTTCCGTCTCTTTAAAGTGCAAGACCAGTGAGGGGCCCTGCTTGTCATCTGAGTGGCGAGTCCCTCTAGCTTTTCACGTGTCTCCTACGATCTTTTACAGCTTTCTTGCCCACACCTCATCTGACACTATTTTTAAAATAAAGTGAATAACCTTTACCAAATGTGTCCCCAGTATTACACATGGGAAAATCAACTCTTTTATTGTCAAACTTAAATTTCACTAGTTTGCATAATGTTTGATTAAATTATGGAATTATGGTAAAGCAGACAACTGGCAGCAATACATTTGTAGACAAAAGCTGTTTGCTTCAATCACCGAAAAGCCACCCGGTGGGAGAACTTCTCTGCATGTGTCCCCCCGACCTGCTGGCTGCCGCGTTGCATGTGGTGCCTGTGTGCTGGTCAGAGGAAGGACGGTGTCGCCGGTCAGACTGCCAGCCCCTGGAGGCTGGTGACGGGAGCTCCCACTCTGCGTCTTCTTCTGTTTTATTTCTTGAGCCGCGATGGGCCTGTTACGTTGTGCCCGTTCCAGGCGTGCAGTGTGATTGGCCGTTTGTATGTATGGCAACGTGATCGCCCCACTACGTGTATTTAACGTTCATTGCACGGTGACACACATGTTCCTTCTCTTGTGTGAGAACTTTTAAGACCTTCTCTTCGAGCAACGACTCTGTGTTTATTTGGTGGATTTGTCACTGCTGAGGCTTCTCAGAGCCAACGCATCGGTAGAGGCACGCGTGGGAACCTCTGCATGCACACGTAGGAGTGGTGGCCTGGCCGATGGCCGGCTCCCCCTCGTGAACATCCCGGAGAACGAAAGAACTGAGGCCGTGACAGTGGAGAAACACAGGACAGCTTTTCCTGAGGAACAGGTGTCATCAGCGGGAGGTCACATAGCAGCCGAGAAGGTGGGAAGAAATGAAGACGTTAGGAAATTCAGTCGAGTGACATAGGAACCTTTTACAATGTGACTCAGGTGATCTGCGGCTGAAGGATTTTGGAAAAATTCTTTTCAGAATTTAGAGAGGGGTTGTTGTCAAAAAACAGGTTCCCGCTCAGCTTTGCAGGTGTGAGTTCTGTGCGGAGGAGGGTGGAGGAGTTTTTCCAGGAACGGCCATGCTTAAGTGTAGCCGTAGCTTCCTCGCCCATGTCTGTTTTCAACTCATCCCTCCCGCATCAAAAATTCCATTTCCGGAGACCCCGTGAATCCCTGCTGTTTGGGTTCATGTCCCACATCTCTGGTCAGAGGCCTGTTTCTGTCCTAGGAGCCCCCAGGGAACTTCTGTCTCAGCCCCTGTCTCCCTCATCATGGTCAGAGTTAGCCTGGCTCTGCACACGGGCCTTTGTCTGGGTCTGATACCGGCTCTCCATTAGAGATAAGAGAGAACCAAATGGGCTCCGTCATTTACTTGTACTGGCGGTGTGTGAAAGCACACTTGGATGCACACCATCCATTTTAGAAAAGACAGGCTCAGTGAGTCTTCATCAACCCGGCTTATCCCAGTCGATCTTGCAAATCTTAGTCCATCAGGGTATTACTGCAATCAGCTTGAAAATGTGAGTTATTTTCAAGGAAATAAAGATCTTAAAATTTATCTTTTTGCATTTTTATTTGAGATACTTCTGTAGCTTTTGGGATGAATCGAATAATTTTCTCCTGAAAACCTAACATAATCACTAGGCAGCATTTTTGTGTCTCTGGCCAATATTCTGTATGAGGCTTCTTTTATTTTTACTTTAAACTATCTTGCCATTAAAATACGTTTCAAAGTCTTTTAAATTTAAACCCAGATTTAGAGATTTATAGACACTGGGTAAGCCAAGGCTATGAAAGCGAACGTGAACTGCAGTGTGTCGTAGCTCCAAAGAAATATCTGTTCCCTATTTGTAAAGCGGAAAATGACGTAGGATGTGTGCGTTACATGCTTTCAGAATGCACACGTTTAGGTCCTGCACCCCATCCTGCGCCGTCAGCTGACAGACAGCCCTGAGGGAGGAAGAAGTGAGGTGACTAGTGGGAAGAGCCTCTTAGGTGCCACATAGGTGTGGGTGGGGGCACCTGAATCACAGCCCAGCACCCCCTCCTCCCCCCGTCATGGGCATGACCTTTGTGCCATTCAGTTCAAGTTTCAGGATGTGAAAACCTTGATGACCCCAAAGCCACCTTCTCTGCCTGCCAGCTGTTTGGGGAGCATACCTGACATTTTTAACAATTCACCCATGTGGTCGTTTATTTCTCATGTAATTTTAAAATGGTTTTTGAAAAGGTAAATGAGTCTTCTGCATAAATAAGCCCATTGTTCTTACCAAACTTTGGAAGAAGTCTGCAGGTAAAATGATCTGTGATAGGACCTGTCTTTAAGTCAGAGATATCGTAGAAAAACAACCCCAAGAAATGACTCTTGCTTCGTAAACATTTGCATGCTTCCCCGGTTAGCATTTTAATGCATTTATTAGGGTGATAGAGAGGTTGTGTAACCATTATCTAATGCCGCACCCCGTGCCAGGCTGGGTCGTGCTGGGTCCTTCTGGGGCTGAAAGCTGGGCAGCGAGGCCAGGGCTGCGTGCCAGGGGTGGGGGCCAGTCCCGGAGCCCTGGGGAGTGACCCGTGATAGGGGTGGAGGGAGAGGACGGACAGACAGCTCAGGACAGACAGAAGTGCTGGCAGGTGGGGAGCTGTGAGGTACACGTGTCCTATTGACAAGGAGTGACCTTTCCAATGGGCGCCCGGGAAGCCTCCGTGTTGGGCAGGGCTGGCTGGCGGCTGGGCTCCTGGGCTGCCAGGGACACAGGGGAGGTGGCCCTGATGGCGCAGATCTGCTGCTGTGACCATTTGTCTCCCCAGCCCAAGCGTACAGTAAAATACCATCCTGTTAATATGTTCCCTTTATGTCAAGAAGGAAATTCAGGGGCTTAACTTGTTTTTCTGCCTTAAAACTAGGATATTTAACTTTTTTTTTTTTTTTTAGTTTTAAACTCGTGGAGTGATAAAGAGAAGTGAGATAGTTTCTAAATGTTACTAGATATTTTTAGTACTTTCTCCTTAAAATAAATGTCACACACATGGTGTGTAATCCATAGATGTTTTATTTTGCATTTGCGGAGATCTTAACTGAAAAGTCTTTGGCTAATGTGCTGCGCATGCCATGATAATTTCCTTACAAAATTGTAAGTTACCCTACAAGTAGGATTGGTCTCAGGCAATTCTGTGGTTCATAATTTAATAATGTCAATAATAGTTTAAAAGTACCTACCTCTGACTAGTGCGTTATGGTTTTCAAAGAGCGGTTTGTGTATTTCACGTCACTAACTGCATGCTTTCTTCTAACACTTGTTAGTTAAGTGACTGTCTTATCGCCTCTAACACTAGACTGTTAGCTTCCTGAGATCTGGGACAGAAGTTATAGGATGGATTCTGTCACAGATTCCATAGGAAATACCTTGTAAGTTCCAGATACCTGGTTACGGGATGCCTGGTCTGTGTTTAGAATTCTGTGTCCCTGCGTGGCTTTTCTTCGGGGATGTCATTCATTAACTTGATGGGGATTTATCGAGCTGAGATTTTCGGCACGCTGCTGGTAGCTGCTGCGAGAGACAGAGGTGAGGAAGAGGATGAAGGCCGACACTCCAGAGAGGGGACAGGATCCTCACGAACAGCTGTGGAGACAGCAGCGAGTACCCCAAAATCAGAACCATATGTAGAGGTTGCAGAAATGAGGTCTGAGTTTGACAACGGGTGCGGGGTGGGGTGAGAAGACTCTGAGAAGGCGTTTTAGGAGGAGCTAAGATTTCTGGGGTGGACAGAGGGACCCCAACAACAAGAGCTGAGGTGGGCCGGCGGGCAGGCTGGGGGCGAGGCTGTGAGGAAGGGAGGGTGGGGAGCCCTTGGAAGGGGTGGGGGTCAGCTGGGGTCCGGAAGTGGAAGCTGGCTTGAACACTGGGCAATGAGTGTCCTGTGCTCTCTGAGGAAGTGTCAGAGGACCAGTGAGGAGAGAGGGGAGGGAACTTTTCCTTTACTGGTGGGAGGTCAGCCCTGGGCTGCTGCACGGTGACAAAATGATTCCCAAAGAGGCAGCATTTCTGCTGGGAAATAAACAGCACTGTGAATACCCTGCCCTGAGCTTTTGCACAAAGCTGGTAGATCACAGGCACGCCGACAGGTGGCATGGCTTTGAGCTTCTCCAGTGGTCCTGCTTGCAAGCAGCCGGCTTCCCCCAGGAAGGAAGCCTCCGGAGAGGAGGAACCTCCAGCAGGCCCTGGGCTCATGGTCGGGGTGCAGTTCGGGGCACGGGGTTGGTGTGTGCCCTCTCTCAGCTCGCGCTTGGTGGGGGGGGCTGCTCTCAGGACGGGCTGAGGGGTGTCAAGTCTGCACAAGTGGCATGGCATCCAATCGCCAGCACCTATAAAACCCCCGGCTCAGGTCCTTGTAGGTTCCGAGCTGTGCGAAAGCCCAAGGTCACATGTTTGTTTGCTTGTGAATGTTAGGACCCTTCAGATCATAAAATTAAATAGTATCAAGTAGCTGACCCTGAGACATCATCCAGTCCTTTCACGGTCAAGGAATTGGGGGTGCAGAGGGGTCAGTGGGCGAATGCAGCTGCCCTGTTCACCACTGCTCTAGAGCTTTCTGGCACCTTTACATTCTTCATCGTGGGGCTGAATGCAGCCAGGGCCGCCTGTGGCACCCCATGTGAGGGACTTAGTTCCTGAAGAGCTCCTGGGCATTGCGGGGTGGCCCTCCTGGGAACCTGTGGAATGAGGACAGTGGCTTCAGAGTACTTTATCTTTGTAAAACTGTGGAATGAGGAAATATGTGTGCCTGGCAGTGTGGCTGCCTGCGTGCGTGCTTACCCTGTCTCTTTCTGTCCTTGTCACGCCTCTTAGTTTGTCAGGTGTCCAGACTTCCCTTTCATCAAACTTCTCATTTCAGTTATTTTTATGCAGTGTTATTATTTTTTTTTTAAATAGGAGGTTAGATTCTTTCTGTCTCCTTGAGCAGAAGCCCGTGACTTAAAATGCAAATCGGAGGTTACAGAAATACTGAGCAGTGGCGCATTTCTTAGTAGGCTCTGCTGTCAGCTCTCGGCGCTCCCGATGGCGGTAACTGTGCAGCGCTCTAGAAGGAGCCTGTGTGTAGACGCCGTCCTCACCAGCACTGGGGTCATTTATGTTCGGATGAGCTGAGATGTGAAATTGTCCTGAACAATGTGTGCAAAATATTGCTGGGCTGCAAATGAGAGCACAGCACATACCGGTTAGTGGGATAATTTTTTAAAGTTTGCATGTAGGCAGCTTGCGTTTGCTATTGAATAGGCGTATTGAGGAGTCGCTGAAATGTTCTAAGCACCCCATTCAAGTCTGGGTTTAGCAACCTATGATTCTCTCTAGAAGATGAGAGATGGTGAGAGGCTAGATGTGCCGG